TTCCTGACTTCTGAAGTGTCTTTTAATGACTTTTAAGTTCTTAAAAATTTAAGGTTTCCCCCTCTTGAAAACGGTCGGACAAACCTTCTCATTCTTATTATTGTAAATAAACCTGTGTGTGTATACATACATACAAAAATTAGATATTTGCATAAATATACTTTTTTCTTGAATCGATACACGCCAAAAAGAAAGGGTAATATAAAGGTAATGGTGGGATATTTGTAGTGCGCCTTCCACAATAAAATCGTCTCAAGGCGCCGAAAAAAAGGTAGGACCAAGAATTTAAAAGAAATTAAATTATATTATATCTTATATTAAAGAGCCTATATTAATCAGAATATTTTTTTATTTATTATAAGTTAAATAAATATAAATAAAAGGGGGAGGGATGTCCAGGGTCCTCCTCCGAGAAAATTTTGATTTATAGATTAGATGATGGGAATGAGCTTTTCCGACTTCTAATTTTCCCATTATAACAACAAATTTCAGCTCACAAAAAAGGTAGTTCTAGAATTGTTTTTTCTTAGCCCAAGGGGGACCTCTGACCCCCATCAGACCCGTCAATGGGTTTCTTCTAGATATTAAGCACACTGAGCTTCTATTCGAGGTTTTACGGTAGTTTATTAGGAGAAAGCAGTTATTTGAAATGAGTTGTTTCATGGCATCTGCTCAGAAATCCTCTAGTCTTTGATGTCTCTTTATGTTTATGTTGTAAAAATGATTTATGCCGTATGAATGACTACTTACATGTTACGTACCGGTACTCACAGAAATCAGGACACCACTGTGTCCCCTCCAACTATATTTATTTGGCTAAAATTTTTCTTTACTTGTTTTTTTTTTTTTTTTACAGATTTCATGCTAAATGATTCATCAATCAATTTTACCTGTTTTTCGATACCTGTTTTTCTAAAGGCTGAGAATTCAAGAAATTAAATACAATGTCGCATAATTTATAATAAAACGACAACACTTACTCATAAAAATATGTGTTATTGTTTCAATTGTCGGCATTGCCCTTGCCATTGGATGCTTAAAACATTACAAATGAAACGCAATGCGTTCCATTGTAGCAGTGATTATAGTACAGGTATATTCATACTTAGCTCATGGCTGAGGCATTAAATAGTAATCAGCGTATTGAGATTAGAACGTACGGGTACCATCTTATACTCATGGATGGAGAGACAACGTAGTAGCTACAAGGACACAATCAGAGTCAGAAGTCGAGTGGTGGCGCTGGGGGGGGGGGGGTTTACCACCGGCGTTGGACAGGCCTGGATCCCCCTGTAGTCCGACACCACAACGAGGTCGTCGGATCAAAATGTTGATTGCCAATCCTTAATATTGTGGTCTACAAGCACAATTTGGACCATACTAAGCCATAAAAACTCCCAGTGAACCGTTTTAGGGATATTTTTATTCTGGAACCCTGAGGCCGAAGCTGTAGTCTGCCCCTTGATTGGGATCCCTCCATCGGACATGTCGGACTCTTTGTCGGCAAATTTCTGGAGACACTGCTGATTCAAACCCATCCTGATGTTTCGACAGCAAGCACAGCTTCATCGATGTGCCGCCTATTGCGACGACACTACCAAAAGACGTTTTACTAATAGGCATACCGTCTCAAAATATTTAATGCGACTAGAGAATTTATAGTTGACGTACTATTATTTTACTAGTTGATACTAGTAAAATAAATTGATTCGAACCCTGATGTTTCGACAGGAAGCACAGCTTCATCGATGTGCCGCCTATTGCGACACTACCAAAAGACGTTTTTATAATAGGCATACATCTCAAAATATTTAATGTGACCAGGGAGTTGTTATAGTGACTAAAACAACTCCCCGATGTGACTAGAGAATTTATAGTTGACGTACTTTTATTTTACTAGTTGATACTGCCTAGTAAACTGACTCGAACCCTGATGTTTCGACAGGAAGCACAGCTTCATCGATGTGCCGCCTATTGCGACACTACCAAAAGACGTTTTTCTATCATCTCAAAATATTTAATGACTCTAGAGAATTTATAGTTGACATACCGTATTTTATTTTACTAGTTGATACTGCCTAGTAGAATGCCTTTTAAGGAGGGATCAATTTAAGTGTCCCAATAGGAGTGTCCCCTGAATTGGAGTTGGGCCGTAGTGTTAACAGTGGCGTATTTAGAAGACTTGAAATGGGGTGCTGATGGTTGGGGGGGCGAATGTGAAGTGGGTAGGGGGAAGCTCGATGATTAGTTGAGGGGCGCTAATTCGCAAAAAAAGTGATTTTAAGTGATTTTTAACTACATGACCGTGATTTTTTCGGTGTTCGAAACTCTCGCTGTGCAGGTTCTTGTGTCTTTGGGAAAGGCACTTTATCTACGTTTGTCTCTCCCTACCCAAGAGTATAAATGGGTACCTGGTAGGCCTATGTATAGTTCCGTGCGGTTGTACTCAGCACACGACTACCCAGCGAGCAGAGAAGCAGGTTGCACTAAATTTGTGCCGGCTTGCCATGTTATCCAGTGACCAGGGGTAATAACGCTCAGCCTCTTTGATCATTCATTTGGAATTGAAGCTAATTTGGCATTATTATTAATAAATATGATGATGAAAAGCATTTCATCGTCCACACTAATCACCTTAGTGCTTTTGCGTCAAATAAAATTACTCTGTGTGAACAAGCTCATCTTTCATTATAAGTTAGGCGATATGAGAAATGTATTTTTCTATTAAGGAATGCTAGGTCTAATTTCAAAATGGAACAAGGCATCATAAACATAGCCAATCAGCTGTTAAGTGACGATTAATGGAAACTAAAATTAGAAATTTATATTTGTTGTTACAACACCTTTGTCGGTATAATGTTACAGCATATCTCACTATCTTGCAAACTAGTTACCTTGATTACATACTGCCTAGAATATTCGAGAACCGTGCAAGTCAATTTAAACAGAAAGCTGTGTTAATTAAGAAAATTCTAAATTAAACTGAGAATTTCTTTCATAAAGAAATGATAAAGAATGATGATAAAAAGGATGATGATGATGATAATGTGGATGAGGATATTGATGATATTGATGATGATGATGATGATCAGAATGATGATGATGATGATGATAATGGAAATGATCGGGATGAAGATATTGATAATGATAACTTGATTTACACAACATATGTCTTTATAATTTGAATGATTTTAATCTGCAAAAATTAAAATTTCCACTCGGGTTCGAACACGGAAATGCATTTATCCACCGCAAAGTCATTTGTGGTGGATAAAAATGCGAGCAAAGCCTGTTTCATTCTTAGTTTATTTCGTTTATTTGATGTGATAGATAATCTCAGCATTCGTTACCGTATGACAGGTGAGATAATATGCAAATACGAAAACACACAGGATAATGTAATGGATAAATGATATAATTACTTAAAAGCATATTTATTTAATAGTATTAACGTGAAATTGTTTAGAGTGAATCTCTATTCTCTATATATGTATATTATTATATAAATTAGAATATCTTTTCTGAGATTATGTTAGGCTATCGTTGCAAAAGCTAGCATCCGGTTCTAATGTCTGTGTTGAGATAATAAATAAAACAAGAAAATATAGTTCTTGTAAATCTGACGCACAAATAATACAGCTTAACATTTACATGAACTTCCTTGTAACTAATTTATAGATTTCGTAGTAAAATGTAATTCATAGCTTATTAGATACTTTCAAATGAAAGTTATAGCAGTTTTCTCGACTTGGCACTTTTAGTCATCCTTTAAGGCGGCTCTCCGCATGAACCCATCACACACCACGCGACGACGTCGGCAACTACGCGATGTAACCTGATTGCGAAGTGACGGAAATTCAAGATAAAGATACGTAAACGGATGATGGTGAATGGTGAGAACGGTAAGTGGTGAATTTCCGTTGGATATAGGCACTCACTTCCAGTGGCGTAGAAAAGTATTTTTCATTGGGGATGATTGGCGTGTTAGCCAGTGTCGTAACAGGCGCGGGGGGGGGGGGGGGAACTACCCCTCCCCTGACGGTTTTTACCGGGCTGACCAAGCCGCCGTCC